GAGCCTTTTTTCTTTTTCTGTTTTTGGAAACAAGTTCTTAATCTGTCACCCAGGGTGGACTGCAATGGCATGATCGAGACTCACTGCAAACTGAAGCTCCTGGGCTTAAGGGATCCTCTTGCCTCAAATTCTTGAATAGCTGGTACTACAGGCACACACCACCATGTCTGGCAAATTTTCTATAGAGTCAGGATTTCACTATGGTCTCCAGGCTGGTCTTAAACTCCTTGCTTTAAGCAGTTATCCCACCTGGGCCTTCCAAAGTGCTGGGATAACAGGTATGAGCTACTGTGCCCAGCCTACATTCTGAGTCTGAAAACACAACAATAAATTTGTCAGAATAGTAGAAGGAAATATTTCAGATGTAAAGAACAGGGTGTACACTATAAAGGTATAACGGTAACAAAAATTTTGCAAATTATTAGTAAATAACAACTCTCTTAGCATGCTGTTAAACAGATACTATTATGAAGTAGAGAATAGTAAAGTGTTACTTAATATGTTTTCACTGTATTTTTAAATTTTGTTTTGTTTCCAGCACTTTTGTTTACTTATGTTAAGGTGGAATAATTTGTGGCTGACACTGAGACTTTTGCGTGGCTTGAACCTGCTGATATCTAGTGTCTCCCCAAGTGGGTTGTTAAAGTTTCAGACAATTAGAAGTGTTTCTTAAAAATGTAAATATTCCAGTAAACATAAAGCTTCATTTAAACTCTCAATATAGAAAGCAAAGTATATGTTATTTTGTATCAATTTTTTAAGTTAACTGTTCTAAGTCATTCATTTTCACTAAACATATGAATTTGTCAGCAGAACACAACTTAAAAGTCATTTCAGAGGAAAAGCAAGAAAGACTTGAAAGAAGTGAAAATAAACAGCCACAGGTATATAACAATTTAAATTTCTGGTTTAATATTGGTTTGTCTGCTTGTTTTTCTTTAATACCATGGCATAGTCCAAATGAAGTGACCTTTTAGACTATCCTTTTAGAATCCAACAGAGCATAATTTCATATTGAATTTTAAAACATTTTAGCCAGTTATAAAATTTGAAATATTCTTACCATCTGTAGTAACTCATAGCTATCTGTACCTGTGGAATTGAGGCCAGAAATTTCCAGAACTCTCTTTGCTCTTTCATTTTTATAACCTTCTTCATGATAAAGAAGGTAACATCAGAAATGGAGCTGTATTACTTACTAAGCAAGAGAAATTACGAATAATTGGACAGTGACAGCCCCTGAGTTCACCTCATGTTAAAGGAGTCATCATTCCAAGTGGTTCAAACTTTGCAGTTTTATGTTGCTGGTCACCAGTGCTGAGGTTAAAGACTTTGTCTGTTTTTTGGTTTCTGGTTGCCTTTGGTGTCTATGTTCAGGGAGAGGATGGGGTCATAAAATTAACCCAACTGCCTATTGAGAGAATGATGCCTTCCAGAATGGGACTTTGGTGTCAGGGTACAAACAATAACTTTCTTGTTTTAACATATATAGAAAACGCTTTAAAAAATTTTTAACCCATTGTCACCAGTGGAGCTTAGAATGTATTAGACCTAGATATAAGCAGATAACCTTCTAGATAACACTATCATATTACGGTATAGCATTGGAGTAGAATCTAAAAATTTTCTTCTCTTTCTGATTGGTGTTCATTTTGACTTCTAATATTTTAGCAATTGCCAACTCTTTAGTTAATCCTCAGAAATATGAATCCACTGTAGGGGTTCACTATTTAGGGTATGCTGAGGTAAAAATCATTCCAAGACAGAAAGCCTTTAGAATACTATGTATCATCTGTGAACCCATTTCTGGCAGATTTAATTCATAATGAATTAAGTTTACTCCAAACAAACAGAAAGAGTTAGGCTTCCTTGGTCACTTTTTTCTCCTATATTAAGCCAAGGCAAATTATTTTTATTTCTTAGTTATAATCCAGTAATTTAGAGGTAGTAAAAACATAGATTATGTTTCACAGTTCAATTTTAATTATTTTCTATTTTTTCTTTGTTCATACTTAATTTAGAATAAAGTTAATTTTAAAACATGCACCCTGTCAGAAAAGACATCTGAGAAACAAAAGAAGCAAATTAATTTTCCACTTTTGCACTTGCAAAAAAATGTCTCAAGCACCAGAACCAAGTAAGAATTGTAATAAAGAGGATATATCTGTATATTCAGGACTTCTTTTAAAATTCATTACAATGCTAGATGTGGTGGCTCACACCTGTAATCCCAGCACTTTGGGAGGCTGAAGCGGGCAGATCACCTGAGGTCGGGAGTTCGAGACTAGCCTGACCAACATGGAGAAACCCCGTCTCTACTAAAAATACAAAATTAGCCAGGTGTGGTGGCGCATGCCTGTAATCCCAGCTACTCGATAGACTGAGGCAGGAGAATCTCTTGAACCTGGGCGGCAGAGGCTGTGGTGAGCTAAGATCATGCCATTGCACTCCAGCCTGGGCAACAAGAGTGAAAGTCCATCTCAAAAAAAAAAAAAATCATTACAAAAAAGTTCAACTGAAGATTGGTGAAAGTTTTGAAAAATCCAAAATTACTGTTTGTCCTGAGGAAGAGCTCTTACATTGTAAACCTAAAGAGGGACAAACTTAAAGGGAGTGCCCCGTAATCTCATGAATCATATCCCTGATGGTGAGGAAGCAGATGCACCTGGAGTGTCTAACTCTGTAGTATTCCAGGCATTGCCTGAACGGAACAAGCCCATCTCACTCAGGTCTTTTCGTTGCATTTATACTCTGGGTCCCTCAAACACACTTGCCAGTCATCTTCTAAGCTTTATTCAAATGAAAATAAATCAGACTGTAAAAATTGTAACAAACCAGACATGTAGCCTGTTTCTCACAGAGATGAAGAAGAAAGAGAATTGTTGTAATGATACAGAAGTTGAAAAATTAAGGAACCCAGTAGTTATGATTGAAATGAAAGAAGACCAAGAGTTTGATATGCAAATGACAAGAAAATATAACCCAAAATACCACAGATTGGAAATTAGACATTAGGCATTGGCCTCAGTCTAGAAATCCAAAAAGTCTTTTTGATTTGTGGTTTGCTCACTCCAAAGAATTGAAGCATGTGATGCAGATAGAAAGCCACAGTATTTCTGCTGTTACAGACACTTACAAAAACCGAAAACCAATACAGCACTTGTTCCACAAGCCACATGGAACTTAGAAGCTCTTCTAAAGCTTAGAAGATGACTGGCAAGTGTGTTTCAGGGACCCACATGTGACAGTCCCACTGCTAATATCTATAAAAGCATGAAACCCGAATTAGAAAATGTGAGTTATTCTCCACCACATAGTGACAGAACATCAAAAGCATATCTAGAAGAAGACTTACAGCAAGATATGCAAAGGCTTAAGCATGAGGTGAGCTTGTTACAAGTAGAGGTCCTGGCTTTGAAGAAAAGAAGTTCAACTATAAAAAGAAAGAGGTTCCCTTGCTGCTTCTCTTATTATAAGTTATCTGATTCTTTCTGGTTCTCTACTCAAGAAAATCTCATGTGTATGGTTACAGTGGGGTTATCTAAATGTGTAATTACGTGTCAAAGTAGATTAGTGCTGCTATCTAAATAACAGTTCTGGAAAAAATTCCCATAATCTTTGATCATTCATCAACCTAAGTCTCACTATGAGTCTTCCAAGTGGCATATGGGCTGGGAAAATTATTTAGCGATATACCATGTGATCTGAACCAGATAAGCATAAGGAAAATTGCTAAAGAAATAATGTCTAGATTCTTTTTTCTATATTCATTTAAAGATGAATTACATTTATTTAAATGATAAAATGGTAATACAATAGGAGGGAAGCAGTGACTGAGAAGAGACAGGAAAATGTAGCTGACCTTGAGAGTTGCAGCAAATATTACCAGCCAAAGAAGTCTGTTTAATGTGCTTTTATGCATGCAGGTTTATCTGTTTGACTCAGACTGTTTAAACTTATAATTCCATCATGGCCACTTTAAATAATTTTGGAAACAAATACATACACTTCCACATATTTAGAAAAATCACCACTCTCCAATGTTTCTGTTGAGTCAGAGACTTTTACGTGATGTTGTTTAATAAAATATGGTAGATAAAAATAAAATAGAATAAAATAAAATATGGTAGGTTTTGACATGTATGATTTTATCATATAAGTAGCATAACTTCTCAGCCAAAAATTTAGCATTTGGCTCTAGAGTAGAAAGCTGAGTTCTGTACATTGTGTTCTAAAGATAGACAAAAATCTAGAGATTTTCTTCTTTCAAAGTAAAAGCAGATGAGGCCTCCCACCACCCTCTGAGCCATTAAATTGCTTTGCCAAAGTCACACCTTTAATTTATTTGATGAATTTGATGTATTTATATGATAATTTATGTAATTCAGCAATATGTAATTGTATCTTCCGTTTTGGTGCCATGAAATGCTAGGTAATGCCACCTTAGGAGCTTTGGGTGAGTTACTTACTATTTCTTGGTTTTACTTCCCTTATCAAGTAGATAATGGGGCTAGAGTGGACAACTATACTGTATATCTTCCAGCTATAAACTTTTGTGGTAA